ATATTTAGAATATCAATACAAAAAAAAAAAAAAAAAAAAATTTGCATTAAATATCCAGCAAGAATAATTTTATTGAAAAAAAAAGCATTTTTTTTCATAAAAATATGGAAATTCCTACACCACCAATTTAATACCCATAAATTCGTTGATTGTCAAAACAAGCTTATCTCCGTTCAGCGAATTCCTAAAAGTATCGTATTTCGCCATGGACTCCGCGAGCGCCTTCTCTATTGGTATTCAAAGTAGAAGAAGAGAGTCGATCGAACCTAAGCCAAATGACGGACGTCCCCCATGGGAGATTTGGAATAAAAGTAAAATAAAGAGGAGGTGGCTCCAGGGTTGAGGTAAGGGAAGGAATTAAGGGGCGTAGCTATAGCAACGAGAAAGCGATGCGGGGCCATTGCACTCGAGTCGAGCAAATCTGCACTCTTGCTAAACCAGCATCCATCCTTCATTGCTCGGTGGCTTTGGCTCCGCCGGTCCGCCCGGTTCAACGTGCGGCCCCGAGTTTTATGCTGTTGATTTTTCCTCCTCGGGGGTCGGCGATGATCGCCCGACCGTGAACGGGCTTCTGAATTTCTCATACGATTTTCTCTCTTTGGCACATCGCTTCATTCCACCGACTTCCCTCCGCGCTCTGTTCCAGCCTCCCTTGCTCTGCCGTCTTCTGCTCCTTCCCCTGTACCCGATCCCCCTCGACCCCCTTCCCCCTGTACTGGTCTCTGTGTCGCGAAACAGACGCGTCGACGGCGACGACGAACGGCACCCGCTGCGTTTGGAAGCTGATGGGATCAATCTGGGATGAAGTGGCAGTGACTGGCTGGATTTTCATCGAGATATGGATGAAGGTACCGTTGCAGGGATACATTTGGGGAGGTACCCACTGTTCGGTACAGTAAATGGATGCTGCAGTTAGCGACTAAAGAGATTGGCTGGATAAGCCCTGAGGATGAAGGGCTTGAGGGATAGCAGTTTTGACATTTTTTTTTTTACATTTTTCATATATCCAGGTATTATTTA